GAGCTGATAGGAGAACGCAGCAGAATATTCTCCAGTGAATTCAGCACATGCCAATGGGAGGGGGAGTTATGTTTATACTGTGGCTGTTGCACGGTGCATAGAGTGTCTGCATGCGACCGCTACAATCTCTGTGCACGCAATTAAACAGCTGCATTACGTTTTCTGTTCATCAGTATGTTGTTCTCAGCTCTTTTGTTGATTCAGTGATTCAGCTGAACTGAAGTCAAATATTCTCATTATGGTATTGTGTAGTGGACTATGTTGCCCGGTCCGCTACTTCCATGTTGTTTTTTTACGTCCTGTCTTACCTCAGGAAACCACTCTAGTCCTGACTCCAGACGGATTTCACCGTACTTAACCTTTAAGTTTTGAGTTTTCTGTCTTTTTTTCACCTTTTGAAATGTATACAGCAAGATTCAAACATCCAGTGTGACATGAATACCATAAAGAGAGTTGATAGACATTTTATTTTCATACACTTTGGTGTACCTGTTGTATATTTTGTATCGTATTCACATTGCGTGCACGTATTAATTCTGTGTGAGAGGGAACGCTTTTGCTCTCTGTGTGCCATGTTTGATTTCTCCTGATGACACCTGATGAGTTGACAGGCAGGAAACAGATGTGCAATTTACAGCCAATTAATTCCTCTCCCTCACCCGTTCTGTCTCGCTGTTGTACTTTACTCTCTGTGTGTCCGTCTGCCCCACGCATATCTCTAGGCCAGAACACACACACACACACTAATAACACACACACACACTAATAACACACACACACGCATCATCATTTGGCTATTATGAAGCACTGTACTATATGTTTTAATATTTTTTCATGTTATGGTGCAGAAACTTTGTTTTTGTGACTTAAATGAAATTGTGATTTAAAATGATGGACGGTGTTCAAAGGCAGATGAAAAATCTAAACATAGATCTTAACATAAGTGTAAACTCATGATAAAACAAACATAAATATTGTCATTATTTTTGTGAAATAGAAATAATGTTTGTTATGCTCACACAAAGGCAGTTCATGTAAATCCAAAGAGTGTTTGGGGCACATTTTGGTGATAGATTGCATTTTTTGGGCTTTGTTTTGTAAGAGAGAGGAGAAAAAGAAAACAACAAAGCAAGTGTAAGCAAAAAAGAAAAACGATATATTGTATAAATTAAAAAATAAGTAATGAATGGGCCATAGGGCAAGGATGAACAATAGTTTATTTATATTTAAAGTATGAGTACTGTGGAAGCTGCTTATTCTACAGCTTAGAAAGCAGAGTGTGGGTGAGGATGTCATCAACAGTGGGGTGGTTATTATTATGCTGTCTCAGCCTAACTTTAAGTCAACCTAACGTCAGGCTGAGACGGAGCTGAGCCGGGGTTTAATCCTCTTGAAGCACCGTTGCATCGCGCCGACCTGCCAATCATGTCAGCTAGCACCTGATGGATAACAGGTGTTGTTTTTAAAATTGAAACAGAGCTGTTTAAAAAAATATATACATATGTACAGTGTGTGCCAGTAATGACAATAACTAATTGCTGACCTATTTGGTTTTTTGTACCAAGCTGTAAACATGTTCGTTGATGCTGTAAAAACAGCTTTTTTGCCAGTTATGTGTATGTGACTTCTGGTGTTCGTGGAGCCAGCCTCAGGTGGACACTCTCCAAACTTTAGGCTTTTGCACTTCCACATTGGCTTCATTTTTCAAGTCTGGAGGTTGCGGCTTGGTTGGAGCGCATGCTTTCAGTGGTCAACATGACACAATCTCTCTCCTAAAAGATCTGCACTCATTACAGACTCTCTGATTTCTTTCTTTTGTGTGGTTGGTGTGGAAGAGCAGAAGATTTCCTCTATTTACATGACTTAACTACTGTTCTTGGCCAAATTTCATCACCTCCCATTGGGCCTTATTGCTACTTCCTAGCAATCTGACTTCAGCTGCTGTGGTTTTCCACTTCTGGAGGAAATTACATTTAGGAAAAATCTCAGATTTCCCAAGCAAAGGGAAAAAAAAAAGGAGGGTTAAGAGTGCAGCTATGGCAAGACGGGAATAATGAGGAAGATAGAGAGGTTATACACCCCGCTAATTAGCCGAGGTCTTCACAAGTTCAAGGACGGATTCAATTTAGCTGATAAAGATTAGAGGATGAAGACGGGAGGAAAAGGGTGAGATGGGTGAGACTTTCACATCATAATTATCCCACTGGTTTTTGGCTGGTGTCGCCTTGGGGAGTGTGTGTTAGTGGGGCGAAGGGGGGGGGGGGGGAGCAGGGGGACTCTGGGCTCAGGAGATGAGTTGGAGGGCTTCTGTGTAAAGCCTGGATGTCTTATCAGGGGGGCTGAGTTCAGCTAGGGGCGTCCCAAAGCTTTCCGGGGTCGACACTTTCCCTTTCAATTACTCCGCCGTTTGCACAAGTATCCACAGCCAAGGAGGATCATGGGTAATACTGGGGTTAAACACACATGCGTATCTCCATTCTTGTATGCATACAAATTGACTGTGCTGACACTTAAAAATCAGTTCAGCATAGCTACAGAGTATTGTTGAAGGCTAAAGTTCATCATGACGATGATATAAGAAAGCCCCAGGTTTGAATCTTATGAATATTTATTTTAAAAACTCACCTGTAAATCCTCACTATGGCTCCTCTGAAGGAGAGAGGCCAGGAGAATTTATCTTCTCTTGGATGAGGAGTAGAAAGGCATACAGTTTGATACTGAGTGAGTCACAGGATTTGTTTATTTCCGCTGAGATGGTATTTTTAGTATTGTTTTTTTTTCCAGGAAATGAGTAAACGTTCATTTATTGGCCTGATATCTTATGACACACAGGGACAGTATTAGTCATTTTGGGAGCTTTGGTTAAATGCTGACTTAGCCCCCCCCCCTCAACAATTACAAAATCCAAACCCAAATGGCACAATGACTTTCTCAAAGGGGTGTTTAAGTTATTTATTACTAAAAAGTAGAAAAAATAGAAAGATGCTCTCTGAATGTCATCAAATCCCTGCAGTTATAATAATGTCTGAGCTCTGGTGAGTTTCTTTAAATGTACTGCACACCTGTGTGAATGTGAGGGTCGTGCAAAAACAATCAATCCAGCAAAGTATCATGGTATTCGTTTTCACTGTGCTACATTGTTCCCCCCGTCCCCCGTTCGGTACATTAAATGAAATAAAAATATATTTTTATTCTCTTAAATTCTTGTAATTACAACGATCCCTCCGCCTGTAGATGTCTCTGGTGAGTAGGCTGGTTCCTTGATCCTAAAGCTACCAGAAGCAAGAGAGAGAGAGCAGCAGTGGTGTAAATAAGGAGGTAAAAGAAAGACCTACAGCTCGGCAGACGGAGTTAGATTTGTTTGTGTGCAGCGCTCTTTATATACATATGCTTTATGTGTCTGTGTCCAGTCAGACATACATCTACTGAGGTGCATACTCAGAAACACAAACACAGATGAACAGCCGTTCAAATTCACAAATTGGCAAAAAAACCTTCCAGTAAAAAAAGACAGACGCCAGAGTCTGTGCAGATAGTACCACACTTCAACTGGATTATAAGAATTCATTTCGATTCAGTTTCAGACCCTGTTTTTGGGACTCTCTCCTCATTATGCTTTGTGTTTCTGAAAACAGTTCAGATGAGTCGGTATGTGTTCAGTGACTTTTTCTGCACCAGCATTGTGTACTAGAGGGTGGAAACTAGACCCTGACTTATCAGGATGGGCATGTCTACATTTATTTTGACTAACATAGTCTACATACATATGATGGACCTACTTTCTTTGTTCTGACTACACTTCTTCCTGCTCAGTGCTGAGGTTATGTAACGCGGCACATGGCTAATTAAGGGAGTGATTATTCATGTGATAAGGATGAAGGACATTTTAAAAGGAAGTTTAAAATTACTAAAGAAATGTAAAATGACTGCAAAGACACTAAATTATCTCCCAATTTAATGTCTCTGCAAACCCTGTATCATTACTCTGTACAGATCTTTATGTTGTCTTGTTGTGCATCCATCCACCCACCCACCTTGTCATACACTGTGAAAACTATGCCTCTACATGCAAACTGATTTGATGGAATAAATCAGAGTTTTAATAGAAATCTTCCAGTGCATCCTACTACATGAAATCTAAGCATTTTCTGAGCTCCTGATCTGTCCATACAGTACAGTTTTTTTTTTGTTTTTTTTCATATCTCACAGTACACTCAGAGGAGCAGATCAGACTGCTGCTTTTAATTAAGTTCGGTAGATGTACAGACAAACTTGGTGCAGGCAGGGAGGTGTAATGCACATCAACGCAGTTAGAAATGCTAACACAATTTACTTAGTGGTCCCTGTTGTGATTCTATTATTGGCTGCTGACGGCCTTCAGTAAACAGTGTAAGTCCAATCACATACATGAGGGGCATCTCATTAAGGGGGAAATGTGCCCTGTTGGAATTACACTAATTGAATTCCAACATGCTAAAATGTAGAGCACATGGAAGCCAATTCTCATCAGGACTCCAGGGGGGGGGGGAGCTATCAGCATTTTTAAAACCAGAATGAATCCCAGTTTAACAGTAATTATGGAGAATATAAAATAATGCGTTGACACAGAATCACAAAGTGTAGGGCCTCATGCCAAAACAAACTTTCTTCTGCTTGCTTTTGACAGTCAAACTCCAACCGAGCGATAAAGACAACGAGGTTTGAAATCACCACCAATCATCTGGAAACTTAAATCACACTACATCTTCAGAGAGATCCATATATAGCACATCTCATACCGTCCACACTAACATGACTGCTGCATGTGTGACAGGAATCGTCACATGTTTCATTTGAAGTCAAAGCTAATAATCCTCCGATGCGGTTAGGGAGCCACGAAGGCACGGACCATCATGAGGGAAATATAGACAGAAGCTGAATGATTTGCTGCTTATGAATCTGAAACCGTGTGAACGTGTGACTGACCCCGGGAACATTTTTCTCTTTGTCTCTCCGCACAGTGGGATGCCATTAATGAGATGGATGAGTACTTCAGTCCTATCCACACATACCAGGTATGTAATTTTCAGTGTGTGGAGCGGGTGGATGTTTTATTTAAATTAACTCCTATATGATAATGTATAAATAAATACATTTGGTCACTGCTGGGTGGGTTATTTCCCCAATGTATTTAAATGTTTTTTCAAAACATGAATTGGGTTAAAGTAATAGAAGTTTATATTGTATTTGTAAAAAAATCATATCCTGAGAATTTTCATTAAATAATGAATCCAACAACCTCAGCAACTTAATTTATTTATCTGTTGTGGTACCAACTGTATGGCAATAAGAGTTTGTTTCAGATGTCTTTCTCGTTCTTAAGGAAACAGTGTGAAACCTGTTTTCTGCAGCCTGGTTCACATTAACGTTAATTAAAAAACCTGATCTCACGCTGACTCAAAGGTTACATGTGCATTTGGTCTCTGTCTGATGATTCTTTCTTTGGATTTGCTCTTGTCTGGGATAACATTATGTTAAGACCATCTTTCTCAGTTTGTTTGGGCACATAAACAATGAGTCATGGACCTGAGATTTAAAAAAGCTAAAATACACTCACAGAGAATCATCCCTCATTGATTAATGAAAGAGGAAGGAAAGCAGGGAGTTAACCAGAACTGTGACAGCACTCATGTGTAGCCCATTCGTAAAACACTCCATCCCAAATGTGATCATATTTAGAATATCTATACTATTATTTATAAGACAGACTTTGTCTCTAGAGAAATAGTTGCTAAGACAATAGAAACAACATTACAGAAACATGAGAGGCGTATTTTGTTCTTTGGTCCATGAGGTCCAACTGTGTTGATCTATCCCTCCATCCATGTTCAGCATTTAAAGAAAATCATTCATGTCAGTAAAATCAAAGAAAGACAGTTTAAAAAGAAGGAGAAAGGCGTTTCTGAATGGTTTTTAAAAGTTCATCAGTGATACCAAAATTAACTTTAAATGCAAAGACTTTCAGCTGCACTTCCACTTTCTGGACCTCCGTTATAGACTTAGACTCAGAAGACTGTATTTATCCTAGAAAGACATTCAGTCCACCCAGGCCGTGCATGGACTGTGTTATTATATCGGGCAACCTCTAAAGAACGCTGACTTATAAATCATATTTATCACAGGAAATTTGAACAGTTATTACAAAGTTTATCTAAGAGAGCTTTAACGTTTAACTTTTACAAACATTTCCAAACTAAGAGAAGATTTATCATGTGTCCAATTCATGGTTGAGACTGCTCTGCTCTTAGATCTGATGAATGGTTGTAAGCTAGACAACCACATGCTTAAAAAGCTTTTCCAATGCTGAATGTTTCTCCTGTGATTGACAATTTACCATTTTTGACTTTGTAGACCAAACAGTCATTAATGGATAAACCACCACAAAAATGAATCATGGAAATAATTGGGAATTGGATACTCTTACTTTTATTCAACAATCTGAAGATTTAAATGGCATTATGAAGTTTTCTCCAACAAATCTGGTGAGAGAACAAACTCATTAAAGTGTGACTTTTTATCTAGAATGAAACATTAAAATGCTGAGTCACACTTAAATCCGCTGACCTATAAAAGCCCATAAAATAAAGACACAAAAGTGCTCGTATTTAATTGTAGGATATAAACCCCAGTCACAGTCTGAAAAACAGCAAATCTCTAAAATACAGACACTGCATCAGTTTACCGCATGTAACTTCGGTGAATGTAACTTCAACCAGTGTTAACAGATGATGTGTGGAGAATTCTACCATCAGATAGGAAGTTACGTAGCGATAAGGACAGAGATAGAGATATTCATGTTAATTAAATGAAGTCAGCAGACAGTATCTCCACTTACACTGCTTTTAACTTTTAGTGATGCTGGGACAATTTGGTAAATTGATAAATGGCACACACCAGGAAACACTGAATGATTTTTGAGCAACACATTTCCACCCCTCTGAGTTCAGGTTCATCTTTATGTCAGCCTATGCTTTTTCTTCTGAATACAAATAAGTCGTTGTGAAGAGCTACTACTGACTGCTGAAAGCCACACAGCTTCTTTAACACGCTGTAATGGTTGCTGATGGATGATGTACGTTGCTGCTACAGTCGCTGATGATAACACTTACTCTGAACCAGGTTTGTAATGTGATGAGCCCCAGCCAGAACAACTGGCTGAGGACGGTCTGGATCCCTCGAGAGGGAGCGAGGAGGATCTACATCGAGGTCAAGTTCACCCTGAGGGACTGCAACAGTATGCCTGGAGTGCTGGGCACCTGCAAGGTAACCACCCAAACACAGAGGAGAGGGTGGGGAAGCCAGCAGAGGATATACATGTGTGGAAGACGTTCACGCTGTAAAATAGAGTTCTTAAATCACATTAAGTAACTTCTGTTGTGTATTAGTCTGTATATACATGTTGAAACACAATGAACACACATACAGGGTAAATAACACAACCTATCTGTTCTGCAGGAAACCTTCAACATGTACTACTACGAGTCTGACAGAGCGGTGGGCTCATCCATACGGGAGAACCAGTTCATTAAGATTGACACCATCGCTGCTGATGAGAGCTTCACCGGGGTGGACCTGGGAGTCCGACGGCTTAAACTGAACACCGAGGTAAAATGAAAACGCTGAACGAGGGAATGACATCTGATTGATATAATAAGGTAAATGGCAGTCCAGACACTTTGAAGAAATATTTCACTTTGGATTGTGAGTCCGTTCCAATTCTAAGCACGTACTCCTCCACAGGAGTTCAAGACAAGTTGGAAACATCCCCAGCCCCGCAGAGCCCCTGAGAGCCTCTTCCTGCCTCGTCACTCACAGGCTTATTGTGCTCACTTCTGCAGATCTGTAGAAGACAACAAACAGCCAGGCTCAGTTCAGAAAAGAGTTTGATATTGATAACAGGTTCAAATCAGAAACTAACTAGTGGAGCTTCTCTTTTATTGATTACATAGCTGCAAATATGAAGATATGGTGTAATTCAATTACACCATCTTAAATTGCTTCACCATTAAACTTTCAACCCAGTCTTTTTTTTATTTTGTTTGTACTGAAGTGCCAAATGTTAAACTTTAAACAATGCTACAAAAGGTTCTTAAACCCAAAGCATGTAAATTCTGGCGCTCAATCAAAATAAGAACAAGAGATGACGTTGAGGCTGGGAAAGATTCTCTCGACTACTCGACCCCAGTCGATGAAAACGAACTCCGAGTTGACCTCAGTCCAGACGAATGTGCGAAACACGCCTGAGGAAGAGAACATGTTTACCGACGATGTAGCCGAGTATCATTTAAATGAAGTCTGTGTCACAACAGCACATACAGCAACAGTACGGCAGCTTTCAGTAGCAGCTCCCGCTTCCTTATGCAGCGGTCTTTGATGTTACATCCAGTGTTTCCATGGCAACGATAAACATGTCGTGTCTGTTATGGATTTCTCTGGCTTTGATAACTGTTGGAAATATTTATGGTAATCTTAAGTTCTCAACAACAAAATATATAATGTAGGTTAAGTCCATTTTAAATGTTTTTAAATGTTTTAGTGCATAAATTTGACATATTACATCTTTAACTAAGCTGCTTTGGAGTTATTTATGTTTTAAGTTCAACTGTTGAACAATTAGTTAAAGTATCAAAGTCTGTTTGGGTTGAATGAGCAGATACATTGTATACTTTCACTTTTAAACAAGGCAACCACACAGAATGTGTTGGAAGTAGGAAGTTTTGTTGAGTTATAATCTCATCGAGGCTTTTTTTTAAGGATAAATGTTTTTTGTTTTTTTTAATCAGTTTAGAGCTCCCAGGAGAAGAACTTAAACGAGGATGTTCTCTGTCTCTCAATACTTACAGTTTCTCCTCCCCATTCGATGGCTCCAGTCCTGAAGCCCATTGAGTGTGAACACACAAATATTCCAAAGCAGCTAAATAAAGCTACATTTTTGGAAAAGGTTCTGTAATTTACTTCCAGCAGATGTCCATTTACGCAAACTCTGTTATTTTCCCTCTGTACTGCACCAAGAGATGATATTTCTTATAAAATGATTCAGAGCCAGACATGAAACAGTTCCTGTGAGCTGAGATTTTCATGTGTGCTACACTGAACTGTTACAGAGAGCGGGAGTTAATACTAATACATACAGGGCTGAAATACAACGCTTTGAAAAGTATTGAATTAAAACTTCTTAACTTAAAGATTTATTGTTGGGCTTTTTGTGGCTTTATTGTAGGGATAGGATAGTGGATAGAGGCGGAAATCAGGGAAGAAGTCATTTAAGGATACCTTTCCGATGGAAAAGGACAGCTGTCATTAAAAGTAACGCATGAACACCAAGATTCCTTCAAGTGCTTGTGTCGGCGTGTCGGCATGTCCCCCCACCCAGCGCTGTAAACCTAGGGGAAACACTGAAACTGGTCTACCAGCCACTTCTGCTAATGATGCTCTTCCACCAGTTTGATCTTGTCGGGGGAGCTGAGTTACTTTTTTAGGTCTGTACTTTGTGCATTGTTCTGCAGCCAGTTTCTAAATATACTCCTTATGATGTAACCTTCTTGTTATCCATTCTTTTTATTCTGATGTGCACTTTTATTATAGTTTCATGTTTATTTGTATCAGGACAAGCATGGAGCAAGTAAACCAACACTACAGCATTTATAGCCTAATTTGCAATGACCCTCCCTAGATGGGCCTTTAAAACACAAAAACACTAAATAAAAGAGACACAAACAACACAAGAAAACAAGCAAAACCAACAGAACAGTCCTCTTTAAGAACTGTTTCAGGTCGGTTTTCCTTGTCTTTGTGTTCCTCATTTCCATTTATATTTGTTATACTGTTTCCAGTTTGGCCATACAGTTGGCCTTTAAATAAACTCTAAACAGTATTAAGATGGTCTTCAATATAACTTGGAGAACCCTGGTGGCAGCCTATTCTTGTTATGTTTTCCGTCCAACAATATTGCCACTTTAAGAACAGTGAATCACAAAAAAAAAATGCATTCAACATAGCTGAAACCATACAATGTGTGCATATAACACAAACTGTTATCACACAGTGCAGGGTGGAGAAAATGCCTGAGGCGAGTCGAATAGTAACTGTTGATTGAGACTATACAACATGTTTAATTTCTGGCATTTACATTAAATAGCAACAAAACAGTCCCCATTCTAACCCAAAAAGAATGGCCCATGTAAGCTCACGATTCATAATTAACTGTCTAATTAGCACACAGCGTTCATCAGGAGCTTTATGAGTTAGTTTGACTCTGCAAAATCCATTCAATCCGTTGAGTCAGTCTGTAAACAAATCTACTAATCGAGCAGCAGCGATGATGTTTCAGCATGCAGAGACGGCTCCTTTAAAGGCCGGAAAACAAACTAGATGTTTGCAATCTGTACATCAGCATACGGCTTGTTTTTCACATCTTGAATGAATACAGAATCAAGCGTGTGAAGAGTGAGAATCAGTATTCAAACATTCAGGAAACACTCACCAAAGATCAGCACATTTCTTGTCAATGGTGAAATGTTATATTTCCATGATGTCGGTGTGAACACTAACTCAACCACAGACTCATTTAACGTTTCACTTCAAAACCAGCCATTAAAATAGAGCTACTGGGGTCGCTGATACTGGTGTACTTGTACGACTATAGTTCCTCCAATACCTATATCCAACACCTCTTTTAGACAGGCATTTAGTCCAGCTGTGGCTCCATTGGTAGAGTCAAAGTTTTCTGTTAAAACAAGGTCCTTAGATGTTCTTGTGTTTCCAAAACAAACTTGTGAAATCGTGTTTTGAATCAGCTCCTGGGTGTTAACAAGATACTCAGCTGTGATATGATGATATTTTATGAAAAACAGGCATATTAAAGTTTCCCGGTTGTTGTTGAAAGCGGAGCAGTTGATTAATGACTGCTGCCAGAGCACAACAGCAGACACCAGTTAAGAGATTACATTAAGGCTGTGTTCACACTGTTCATCCTGCTTTGTTCACGAGTTGTTGCAATAACCACACTTTGAGCTTTTAGTATGAACTAGTTAGAGAACTGGAGAGTTTTTCAAAAAGACAACTTTGAAAACTCTCGTAAGTTGTCCAGTAAGTCAAATCAAAGGCACAGATGTTCAATGTGTTTGCAGGATGTTATAGTGTTGTTTGTAATGTATGTTTTTTTTTTTTTTTAAGATTTATTGTTGGGCTTTTTGTGTCTTTATTGTAGAGATAGGATGTATAGAGTCGGTAATCAGGGAAAGAAGTTATTTAAGGATACCTTTCCGATAGAAAAGGACAGCTGTCATTAAAAGTAACACATGAACACCAAGATTCCTTCAAGTGTTTGTGTCGCCGTGTCGGCATGTCGGCTTGTCCCCACCCCCCCAACGCTGTAAACCGAGGGGAAACACTGTACAGTAACTATCAAAATAAATGCACAAGTGCATTTATGTTTTTTTAGGGGCGGCTGTGGCTCACTGGTCAGTGGTCAGTGGTCAATCATCTCTCAACCGGAAGGTCTGAGGTTCAATTCCCAGCTCCTGCAGCCTCATGTCCGGTGTGTCCCTCTGCTCTCCGATGGACACTTTACATAGCAACCTCTGCTATCAGTGTGTGAATGTGTAGGTGTATCATTCTGACTACTCAAAGCACTTTGAAAACTGAACATTTGAATGTAAACGAACGAAACATGCTCACAAAAAAACCCTGAAAGTAAGGAAAAATCTAAAAAGTACACTTTTATTAATGACGCAGCCTACTCTGCAATTGTTGTCATTTTCAAAAGCAGCCCGACATTCACTTGATGCCCTGAAGTATCTGTGATGGGAATATCAAACCTCCTCTTCTCCTTTCAGGTGCGAGGTGTCGGCCCTCTGAGCAGGCGAGGCTTCTACCTGGCCTTCCAGGACATCGGAGCCTGCATCGCCCTCACCTCTGTGCGGGTGTACTACAAACGCTGTGTGGGTGTGAGCCGAAACCTGGCTGTGTTCACTGATGTGGTGACAGGAGCAGACTCGTCCTCTCTGGTGGAGGTGAGGGGACAGTGTGTGGATCACGCAGAGGAGAGGGACACACCGAAGATGTACTGCAGCGCTGAGGGGGAGTGGCTGGTGCCCATCGGGAGGTGTGTTTGTTCTGCAGGATTTGAGGAACACAGGGACTCTTGCGTGGGTAAGTTCACTCAGGTTACTTTTCTTGCCTTAGTTGTGTCGTGCTGTTTTAATGAGCTCCGTTTTGTTATCCAGTTTGGTGGGTTTTTTTCTGCACGTGTGGTTGCTGTTAGAACCAAAGAACCACAATATCATACTCAAGTTCAAGCTTTTGCAGGTGTTACGTACCCGTCTAGGGTGCAACATAAAATTAAGAAAGAGAATTGTTCCCTCTCCGGTCTTCAGACCAAATGCTGCTAAAAATTATTAATTGCAAATAAAAAGAGCAATACCAACAAGTTAAGCTAAATGAGCTCATAACTATTCCTTATTATAATACGACCTTCCCGGGATAAAAACAAATTAAACCAAATAACAATAACTAAACCTAACTCCCTTACTTAACCAGCAAAGGCGATAACAGCTCACTTAAAAACGGCCTTATCTGTGCAGGGCTGAAATAGAGGGGTTTAAAGGCAGGAGTGGATTTTTGGCAAAAACTTCACTGACATGTTTTTATTATAAGAATTATTGAAACTGGTTGAAAAGGAGGATAATAAGTGACCTTTAACCAAACACAGGAGATAAATGTGTGTAAAAGAAGATCAGCCCTACTGCTTCAAACTACAGATTTACCCAGAACCACAGTTGACTGAAACCAAAAATCAAACTCTAAATCTCCAAGCAAAGTTTACTAATTTCAAAATCAGAAAAAAAGCAATTATTTGGAATCCAAGGAGAGAAGTCAAGCTGCCACTCAGAACGCCACTCTTCATGTGGAAGCCTTTTTCAAAGCTGGGATGCTGAGCATGCACTCCCAGAAGTCAAATCATGCTGACACCAGGGCTGTAACAACGGACTTCGTTAAAGTAAATTCTTTGATTTTAAATTATTTTCTAAAATAAAGCTGTTCAACATACTAAGTGAATCCATTTCAGGTTAAATATCATTTGCCCTTCACAGATAGTGAATCTGTAAGAGAGCCGTAATGAAGTTCTGCCATCATCACGCCTTTGTTCTCAGACACTGCGTAGAAATGGTATCCCCGTGTGTGATTTCACATGGGCCTTACTTTAGCTGAGAATGAATTCTCCAGTCTTCCTGAACCAAAATAAAATCAGACATTTGGTAAGCACAGCTGGCCTTGCTAATCTCTGCTGCAAGGGAAACGACTAAATGAAGATGAAATGGTGGATTCAGAGATGAGGGTAACACAAACTGTCATATCTCCAGAGAACGCTGGAAGTTAGTGAACCTTAAGAGAGTGAGGTTAACTTCAGCCAGGCTGTCCTCAGGTTTTTTTTTTAAAGAAATAAGAATTAAATACATGCCAGGGGAGATGAAGTATGCACACAAGAGTAATGAAAACATGAAATGAAACAAAACCAAAGACTGGAAAGTTATCTGAGATAAGAGAGCTTCACTGAGTCTTTGTTGGAAACAGCAGTTTTACGACTAGACATCCTCTTCATGATTCAAACTGTCCTGATCACACATTTGAATATTGTTAATGATTATTACAGGCAGAGACTTATTTGTTTAACACAATTGAATTAATAGCCATCCCTCCTCCCCTCACACCCCCGGTCATCTTTCTTCAGTCCACTATTGAAAGAGACAGAAAATGCCCCAAACCCCACAGACTGTATGAGTCATCTCTCAGCTCTCTGCAGCAAGTCGACCAGACTGGAGCAGGCCTCAGTCCAACTTGGTCTGATTGCATATTAAAACCCGGATCATCATATTCTTTATCAGCTTAACAGTTACAATGTGTCTTGTCACCTCATTAAGTTGTTAACACTAAGGGTCTTTAGCAGGGCGACTGTCTGTCTCTGTCAATGTCATAAACCATGTTGTTGAACAAGACGTTATGAGGAAGTGGTTTATACTTAATTTATACACACAAGTGTGCACTCTTAAATTTAAAAGTCTTCAAAAATGCAATACAATTTTATTTGTATAGCACATTTCATACAAATGTAAACTCAATGTCCTTTACAGGAGACAAAACCCAAACACAATACAAACTATAATTTAAAAAATGAACAAATAGATTCAATAGCACATTTTAAATCCAAAACACATGTATAAAAAGACCCTGCACCATTCCATACAACACATACACCTGCTGCTATCAGAGTGCACACAGAGGGCCATACATAAACTGCACTTATGTACACACACACATACTAAGATAAACTAGCAGCCGAAGGCACAAGAAAAAAGTGATGTTTTAAGACCGTTCTTAAGGGAACTTAAAGGTCACATATAATACACTTCATAAAGTTTTTCAAAGACTAACCTGTGTCCCTGGTCTTTCTACAAACCCCCCCCCAATTATGATAAAACTCCATCCTCTCCGTCTTTTTCCTGCTCCACTTTTCAGAAAATGTGTGCTCAAACAGGCCGTTTGGAGATTTTCCCTTCATGACATCACAAAGGGCAGTAACCCCTCCCCCAGGTGGGTGACACACCCACAGCGAGGAGTTTGTTCTGCCCACTAAGTCTGCCTGCATTTGGGCATGGAGTGAGGAAGCCCAAGCCACATCCCCTTCCAAAGAGGGGCGTGGTCAGACACAGCTCAGTTGGTTTTAAAGCTATAGACACAGAAACAGCCTGTTCTGATCAGGGCTGAAATAGAGGAGTTGATAGGCATGATAAAATACAGGATTAGAGTGGATTTTGAGCGAGAAACTTCACATGTTTTGGGGAGCTCTGAGACTTATTTAAACTTTTTGAAAAGGACGACAATATCTGATCTTTAAAGTTTCAACAGAGCTCAAGTCATCAGGCAGTTTGTTCCACAGATCGGAACAATGGTGACTAAATGCACTTTCACCTGATTTAGTTTTGACTTTGGGTAAATTCAGCAGAGCCATACCTGCTGATCCGAGGGATCAGATTGGGCTGTATCAGTGAGCAGGTCAGAAAGGTACTGAGGTGCTGTAGCGTTTAATGCTCTGTAGACCAGAAGTAAATGTCTGTGTTTGATTCTGTACTGAACTGGAAGCATGCAGAGGAAACAAAGCTGATTTTGTCTCAGGTTGGGTTTTTAAAACATCTTTCTACATTTAGCAATAAAAAAGATAGTAAAGCAAATAGAGGTTATGATACAACAATATGTATTATTGAACCCCCTTTAAATTCATTTCTAATGTCAGAGTCAGAATTGGGCCTTAAATCTATGAGGACCTTATATTTGCACATCTTGGTGATGTTGAAATCCCCGGTGAACACTTACCGGTCCAGAAGTTAAAAGCAGCATAATAACATTTTTCTTTCATACTGACTGAATGAAGCACATTAACAGGTATGAATGTGACCGAAGATGGATCTATTCTGGATAGGAATAGATCTGAAGGATGTACTGAAAAAAAGTACTTGACTCAATTGACTCAATTGATTAAAATTTTTCAAATCTGACCCTTTTTTTCCACGTGGAGAAAAATGTTCTCAACAAAGACGCATAACCATCACAGTTGCCGATTTATTGAACTATCTCAAGGATTCCTCAGAGCTGAGCATCAGCAGAGATGTCTCTTCAATTTAAAAGTAACACTTTAGAAAGATTTGAATGTTTCTAGTGAATCAAGAAGTCTGTTTGAAGTCATGACTGTGGATCAAGTAAATAAGTTCAAGGTCTGGCCAAAAGCTTTTTAGATGTTGACCAAGACCGCCGTCTAGTGCATGTAAATGCTGAGAAATCCCCCATGTGTCTGAAGTTTCTTCCCTTGTTTCACCCTGATGAATGATGATGATGACATACAAAAGATTCTCCATCCTCTTTTGTTTTTTGACACCACATTCTGTTTGTTTTTTATCTTTTTTTTGGGTTTTTTTCACGGGGTTTTGATCAGCTGACCTCATGTGGAGACCTGTGCATATTTGAGGTTGCCATGGGTTACGGTAATTAAAACCTATTAATCACAGAGCGATGGATAATTAAACGCTAAAAGCAGTTTGTCAGCTAAACGAGCCGAACGAGACACGCAACAGTGGTTTGCTTGCATCCTCCCTCCTCCCAACATGCAGACACACCTACACACACACACACACACTTTCTCTCTGCCTCTCTCTCTCTCTCTCTCTCTCTCTCTCCGGCTTTCTCGAATATCTGTTGTGTCTTAACCAATCTGAGGGCAGCAGCAGAGATCCACTTGGTACAACGCAGTGTGAGCTTCTCTTCAAAATGTATTTAATGCGTGGGTGGTGGAGTGTGTGTATGTTTGTGTGTGTGTGTGTGTGTGTGTGCGTGTGTGTGCCTGGTCAGAGGGCCACTCAGACTTTCTATAATTAGTTGCAGGCAATTAGCATCAGCACAGATATGCAAAACAGAGCCCATAAAGAAAGCAAAGAAGAGGATGGCAAAAATCACCTGCAGTCATGTTACGTTTATGGAACTGATTTTAAGGACATTTTTGTGTAAAGCTGTAACACACATTTGAAAGTTATCTGAGGTTCTGGGGATTGCATCTTTACAGAGGCTTAAATAAAAGCATAAAAATGTCTTGGAATAGAAATCCTTTTTTTTTTTTTTTATAATAATCCTCAGCTGGAGGATATGTTTTCACCCCGTGTTTTATTTACCATTACATCATGACGCCAGAGTAGAAAGTGGATTTGCAATAGAAGAAAAAAAAAAAAAAGCTCTTCAATATATCCTCCGCTGACGTCTTGTCTCTTCTGGCACCAAACTGGGTCGCCGTGCTAACTCACCCTCGCCAAAGCCAGCACAAAGTCACGCACACACGAGACCAGACAAGACACAGAGAGGGAGTGGAGGGCACGAGATGGTGAAAGGAAGACGGCTTAAGTGGTGCAGGCTTGTGTGTGTGTGTGTGTGTGTGTGTGTGTGTGTGTGTGTCTGTGTGTGTGCGGAGAGAGAGAGAGACAGAGAGAGTAGAAAATAAGACATGAATGTGCGTGAATATGTGTGTGTATATGAGCGTGCTTAAGTGGTTCTCCCCTGACAAAGGTGCAGAGCTTTGGCTGAGAGCACGACATGGTGTGCATGTGTGTGTG